AAAAAAAATTACATGTATACATGCTGATTAATCTAAATTCTTTCACTGGCAAAGGGGTTCTAAAGAGAAATTAAAAAAAAAAAGGGAATAATTACCTGATAATACTGGCTGAACACTATTGAGCAAGATTGAGAAGGCAAGAAGGGTTGAGAGGCTTGATACAGCTTTTGCAACTTCCTCATTGGTAGTAAACAAGTATGAAAGTCGATGCCCGAATACTAAACACAGAATCCAGAAGAACACTCCAAATGATATTGAAGTACCAAGAATGGTTTTTATGGAAAATTTCACTGCCTCTGCATTCCCTCTCCCCAGTTCATTCGCAACGCGAACACTGTAGAAAGTCAGGCATTAGAAAGTGGAAAGAAAATTGAATGTTGATATATATTGAGAAAAGGAAACTAGAAATGTTACGGATCATATAGAACATTACATTGAAGCACCCAGGAAGCCAAGGCAGATCATGAATTCCCATGCATTCATATTGATGCTGCAGCAATGAATTAGTTTTAGATTAAGCAGCTTTCTTAGTAAATTGGAACACAAAAACTGAGTAAATTACTATCTCTGTTAGAAAACTTACCAGATGGAGAAAGCATCAATGGAAATGGTTGCATTTTTCATGTATCCAGCCAACAAGACGAGAATGGCATTGTACCACAGCTCTAAGCTGTTAATTACAAATCAACTTAAAAGATTAGAGTACTGCATGTAACTTTACTTCCAACAAGATCAGTAATTTAGAACCAATTCATGCATTTATCCCAAAAAAATTATTAAAGCTTTTTATGCATTGAAATCCTAAGTGCTTTGAGTAGCCTTCAATAGTGTAAACACTACTGACTCTAATGCTCTGAATCATATGTAATTAGTGACATTCCTACTTATACCTACTTATGTACTAAGACTCCATTTCATATATATATATATATATATATATATATATTTTTGACATTCTTACTTTTTGAAAAGTAGCGGAAAAAATAGATATTTATAAGTAAGAAATTGAAATTACCAAATCATGAGGCCAGAGGCTACTGAGAGCTTTACTACTGGCATCAGATCATAGAAGGCACCTTTGGTGAACCCTTTCCATGTGTGAGGGCACCAACCTCCAAAGATATAGACAAATTCGCCGATGACCATTGCCCAACTCGATATATTCAAGGCTCCCATTGCCCCAGAGACTCCCCAGTTAAGTTTGTAAACCATGAGCCAAGACAGTAGCAAATGAAGTAGGAACGAGGCGGCGCTTAGCCACCCCACAACCAAGTTCTTGAGCTGCGCTTGGAGGTACATTTGGATGGTAAGGCTAAATACCATATTGTAAAGCATGGGAATGAACCATAGGGAGATTGTGCCAGCTGCTTTGGCAATCTGCTCCTCCTGCCCAAGTAGTCTTAAGAGTGGTGTAGCTAAAAGAAAGAGAGGGACTAAAATCGTCGCGGTGGCACCATCAACAATCCATGATCGTTGCAGGTATATTCCCATCATATGGTAGTGTTCTGCCCCGAATGCTTGCCCACAAAGTGTTTCAGTCGCACTCGACATGCCAATCTTAATTTCCCATTACATGAGAAAGATTAATAGAATTTGGTTAGGTATCAAACAATTGTGATAATACGCAAAGCAATCCAAAATTTTTAAGTGTGAGTCTAATGAAGAGATCAGCTTACCAACACTCCGTTCACAAATCGTACAAGAATGCTTTGAATGAGGGCGTAAGTGGCTAGCTCAACCTCGCCAATGTGACCAAGAAACGACTGTGTCACAATCACCATTCCAAAAGAAGTGACCCTTGACAACATTGAAGGGAAAGCAATCCTCCATATGATCTTTGATTCAATCCAAACCCTTGTTTTCAGACCAGTACGCTTTCCTTCATCTTGCTTTGAAAGAAACCTTTCTCCCAAATTGTTATCCATGGTCTCTGCAAAATTCTGGCATGGCATGAAAAAAATAAGACGATTTGGCTAAGGTCCAGATTCCTCAAGTACTGCTTGGTTTTAAAGTACGTTGGGGATCACTGTTTTGAATTGATTGCCACCCTGTTCTGTCCTTTGGTGGTCAATAAAGTTCACTACAGTAAAAAGCAGACCTCCTCCTTTCAGGGCAAAAATAATAGCCAACATCTAGAAAAGAAGTTG